TAGTATAAAAAGGTCCCCTTATAGGTGCAAGAACTGCTTTACAATGCCTAAAATTGTTTTTTTCAAGATGGCTGATACTCGCAGGTCGTGCGATTGAATAATAAAAAAAATACTTTTATTTTTCAATATAATCTTCATTCACCTCAATACGCTTATTCGACCCGTAAAGATTCCGAGGTAGAATAGGTCTTCAGCAACCCATGCTTGTCGTAAAAGGGGACTAACGGGATCGGGTGGTCAGGCTCGCTGACTTGGTTGATGCATGTCATCGATCCCAAAGGCGTGGATCGATGCTCATGATTTCAATCACTGGATTGTCTTGTCCAGACTCGATTATTTACAGACCGCCGTCATATAGCTGGAATATTGTTGAGTGCGGCGTTAAACAACCAACCAACCAATACGCTTATTCCATTTTCACAGGAAATAGTCACTGGGTGCTAAGTCTGGGCTGTGGGGTGGGTGATTTAACCTGTACAACCTGTAATTAGCCCCCAGTGACTATTTCCTGTTCCGGCAAATGAAATCTTCCCTACGTGGAAGAGGCTTCCATGATGACGAGGTCATAAAGGCTGCCACTGAGGCGTGGTTAGAGGGCCAATCTGCGGATTTCTATAAAAGTGGTATTAAAAGCTTGAAGGACAAATGGAATAAGTGTATTGAGGTGAATGGAGATTATATTGAAAAATAAAAGTGCAAAAGATATATTTCGCAATAATATTAAAACAAACTGCTAAAATTGGTAAAAAAAATTATTTCTATGTGGATATAAGGAAATAAGGTATCGGTTGCAGTTTTGATAGCCATTAAGTCAAGTTGAACAGTCTGTGGTAGTGAACATATCTCCATGTCAACGGAGACATATAACAAGAACAAATGTGTGAATTTCTTAATTCCTTTATTAGGACAAACTTCTGACCAAAATAAGAAGATATACACTGTATACTAAAGAAAATAATCAAAATATTACCTTATACATGCAAAATCTCTTAAGCAAATAGAAATGTACAATGAGAAAAACAAGCCATTACATTACAACATACATAGTACTCTACATGGATAGTAAATAGAACTCAGTTAATAAAGAAACATAATAATAATAGTAACTTACACGTAGAGATAAAAACAGCTTGAATAGTCTAAATTAGGGGTGGGGATATGTTGCCTTCGCAAATCGTATTCCACTTTTAAGAGTGGTTATCTAGATCGATGTGCGGTTTAGTCATGGACACACACAACTTCTGTACTGTGTAGAACGAAACAAAACACATGTTCCATTTAAACTAACCTGACCGCCACAATATTTATATATGTACATGTATTCTGATCTTAAATCATTCCATGGGGATTGTAGGTTTGAACACGTCCCAAGTATAAGCTCCTCTACAAAATGGATCAGCTGGTTGGGCTCTGTGAGGCAGACTATTGAGGTTTGAACACGTCCCAAGTAAGCTCCTCTACAAAATGGATCAGCTGGTTGTGCTCTGTGATCCGAGTTTCAAAGTACCCGACTGCATGGGACTTTGCTCCTGACATGAAGCACAAGTCGGACTCCATTACTTACAGGTTGCCACGATATATCCTAGCCTTGAACTCTCACACATGACTTAACTCAAACCATAGACTGATCATCAAAATATCAGATGGTAATCGTCAGCATGGTAATAGTCCGATTTATCAGCAGAAAAAAAGGTCACCAGAACACCTTTTTCTAATTGCAGCATTTAAACTTTATTGATGGAATGGTGATTTCCTGATCAATAGTTTAGTCTTATATTAGCGGTCTGTGTTGTGCGTAACTAGAAAAAAAGGCCAACTAGGAGGCAGACTATTGAAGTCTGACAGAATAAAGAGATTGCTTTTCATGGCGGATGCAAATCAAAGAGCAAGGATAACATGATTCAGATTTCAGTCACCCTACTATAAACCTCACGGATCAATCACGCTGAGACTGTTGTTCCTTGGGGTGTAAGCTTACACTTAACATTGATGAATGTGGCATCAAATACTTCCGTTATCCAACTGGTGCCCCGGTGAATATTCACGACATCATGCCAGATAACATGAGTAATCTGATCCTCTTTCCTAAAAGAGTGAGTTGAGTTTACCTTGCTGTCAACTGAACAGCTGCTACAATTGCCCATGGCCATCAGAAATTGCACTGGACCTGCTGTTTTAACATCGGTGGCCTGTTCAGCCAGTCAATAGCCTACATTTATACACATAATTGTTAGTAATAGTTTAACTATATGCCAAATAGCAGTGAAATACAGATATGACGTCACTATTGTAGATTATCTGTAACGAACAGTTTACCGACCTAATTCTGTAATCTAAATTTAAAGCTAATGCATTTATTCTAAGCAAGTGAATTGCGAATATACGGGATATTCAAAGGCAGCATGGATATCGAAGAATGAAGTTAAAGATGTATTATGAATGTAATGAAAGAAATGTCCATGCAGCACATTTGTTTTGTATTTATTTTCATATATGTAGAACTTTCCGGCTGTATTTAAATACGCAGTTTCAACAGTGCAAAATAATATTCGTTTACATAGTAATTTTTCAGTTTCTTTTGGGGTTTCCAAAAACCAGCAGCTTGGCTAGCATAGTGTTTATTCTCACAAATGCAGTGATACAGCAATATCACCTATCACCAGATTTCACTCTAACCGACATCTGCTCAATTGCGTTGCTGTAAATAATAAACATGCTTATATGGGGGTCGGAGACTAGATAATCTTCAGGCCAGGCAGCAACAAATACATGTCTACAGCTTTATAAATCTAAGGCAACACAAAGGTCTCTTTCCTGGTTTATAAGACCTTTTGTCAAAGAAAAGATCTCCGGTAACTTGTTCGGTCAACATCATCGTCAAGTAAGTTATCATTATGATGTCTTGGATAACTGTACAGATATAAGCATGATAAGCAGGCTCACAAATGTGATGGTAATTGAAATGTTGATAGAATGATTAAGAGTTGATATTATTCTCTTAGCTCCGGCATTAGGAAAAGGTCTGTTAATAAACTCAACATGCTGCTCGAGGAATTGTGCATGTCAGCCCGGTTTGTTGACATCACAGTCGGAAGTATTCCAGCTATATCCTTGCAGTCTATAAACAAACCAGTGCTTCCGATCACCAGGATGCAACAACAGCCAAACTACAAAGGATTGCAAGTTTCAGTCAAGTTGCCACTTGTGACCATCTATACGGTGGTGGTGACAATTTCTAACCCTTGTCCACACAGAGTACTTAGTTCTAGATCATAAAGACATTCAGTTATGTAGAAGATATATTTTGATTCCACATTTCAAGGATAGGATTCAGTCACAACCTCTCCTTGCTGTTGGTAAGAGCTTATTTGTTTTCCAATAGAATTGAAGGATACTTAGTTTGTGAAGTTGTGTGTCTGTGACCAACCGTAATATTAAGACCCTGCAGCCTGAATAGCTCCGGCATATATCTTGTACTTTTCATCTCCAACAACATATTTTCAGACCTTATTATAGTTCTTGTTAGAAACCATCATTCAATGTACTTTCCATGAGCATTTACAAAGGCAACATAGCCCCATGTCAAGTCATCACTTAATTACATACATGAAAAGATATTTAACTGACTAAGGACAAGGTTTTTTTTTTTTTTTTTTTTTTAAGTTTGTTTTTTTAAATTTGTTTTATTTTTTTAAATATATTTTTCATGTCTGTATGCTTTGTATTATATTACTCATTCAACATTTTCCTTTTTTGTCTACACATTGAGTGACTGAGAGTGAGTTTGGTTTAACACAGATTTTAACAGGATTCCAATTATATCACAACATGTCAGGAGGAAAGCCTGATGTGATGCAGGTCTCGGATATTAACCCTTTTGATGGAACCCACGGACATGGGAATGGTGCTGACCAACCTAGAAACATAATTGGGGTGAACCCACAAGGTTTCTGGTGTGCTCAAAGGATGCAACACTGCAAAAAGAACTGCAGCACCTTACACAACTTGGGTACCTGTGCCCCTCTGTCTATAAAGAAACATTTGTTGAGTAGTATATTATTGTCCCATGTCATTTGACTTGGAAGAAGACATTTTCAGGTTTGTGTGTGTGTGTGTGTGTGTGTGTGTGTGTGTGTGTGTGTGTGTGTGTGTGTGTGTGTGCGTTTTATTTTTACTCTTTTATTCTTTTTATACTTTTTTTGGCATTTTCTTTTGTCCTTAAATTGTCAGTTGTCACTGTTTATCTTAAGGATGACTTAACAGTGGGCAAGTAGAGAATGGACTGTACATTACAGTTATAATGCCAAGCACTACCGGGACTGCACGTATTTAACACATAAAACGTTTTTAAGCCCATGGGCTAAAATTAAATTTGTAACTTACGTGATCTCCCTTTCCGGATATTCCTCAACAGGTGTTGTGGCAGGCCTATGTATGGCTAATTTGCACCAATTTTGCACCTTAAGCGCTGTTAGAGGTTTCCACATATACAAGACGCATTTGACATCGAGTGTCTAAGCTGTCTTTACAATTTTGAACTTTTTGAATTTGAAAAAGAAAATCATTTTTTTTATGTTAAAGTGTTGTTTCATTCCAGTTGTGAGTATTGTTTCATTAAACTTGAGATATTCATTTTTCGTAGCGTGGTTTTGTCCATTTTGCGAATTTAAGCCCTGGGCTTAAATTTGGATAAAATGTTACCTTATTAAAATAGGCAAAATCCGTAATTAAGCCCAGGGCTAAAATACGTGCAGTCCCGGTATTAGTTCAACTCATGATGATCTCTATCTACAAACTTGTAGAAAGAGATCATCAAACAAAGACAATGACATACTCACCATGCTCACAGCAATAAAAGTATGTCATTATCTTTGATAGCCTCCCACAATGTCAACTTTGATCATTAGTGGGAGGCATGGGATGCTCCCTAACAGCAGAGGACTAGGGCTGCTGTCAGGGAGCATCCCCCCCCCACACCCCTACCCGCCCGCCCACCCAATGTTTAGACTATTCTGAGATTAGCTGTTTCGACAGCAATCTTGATGAAGATTGTGTCATCTTTCAAGTAGTTGTTTGTCGGGTTCTCCAGGACAGAGTGGCTGACAAACAGAGGACATCCAGAAGCGATGTTCATCTCGGTCTGCGGCTTCCTGAAGCTGCTGCTGCTGGGATCTGGGTGGAAATGATCACTCAGATGACGCCGCTCTACTCCTTGGTCCAGCAGGTAGAGGGTGACCTTCTGCTGGAACGGCCAGGGCAGGAGAGAGTCATACTCTCCACGCATGATGACAAAGAACAACGACACGTGGGTTGTCTTGCCCATGCCGTCACCATTCAGGTAGACCCGAGCGCACATCTTGTATCCATACTTGCTTGTGTAGAAAGGCTGGCTGTAGAGAGACAAGGTTCTCCCGCTTACAGCTTCCTGCTTGCGACGTGTGTAGTCTCGGATCTTCCACAGCAGAACGCCATCATAGCTGGCAGTTTCCAAAATTTGAAATCTCAGATCCATTTCAGCAATTCGCACATCATGGATACCAATTTGTCTGTCATGCGCAGCAAGCTGGGTGGTGAAGGCATCTACAATGAGTAATGTCAAAAAGTGAAAAGTTACTCTAAAACATAATACATTCATAATAAAAATACATTAAAAACAAGTATTTGTCACAGAGTGACGAAATATCCCCCGCCATATACACCATAGTACCAAATATGAAGACAATCCAGCGATTAGTTCTTGAGATATTGTGGCAACACCGTTTTCCAACTCCAAAAACAGATTTGCCTGCTGTGACCTTGAAAATGGGGTCAAGGTCACCAAATCTGACAGGTGTATGCAGTGTCTGTATATACACTATAGTTCCAAATATGAAGACAATCCAGCGATTAGTTCTTGAGATATCGCGGCAACACCGTTTTCTAACTCCAAAAGCAGATTTGCCTGCTGTGACCTTGAAAATGGGGTCAAGGTCACCAAAACCGACTGGTGTCTGCGGTGTCTGTATATACACCATAGTTCCAAATATGAAGACAATCGAGAGGTTTAGTTCTTGAGATATCGCGGCAACACCGTTTTCCAACTCTAAAAGCAGATTTGCCTGCTGTGACCTTGAAAATGGGATCAAGGTCACCAAAACCGACTGGTGTCTGCGGAGTCTGTATATACACCATAGTTCCAAATATGAAGACAATCCAGTGTTTAGTTCTTGAGATATCGCGGCAACACCGTTTTCCAACTCTAAAAGCAGATTTGTCTGCTGTGACCTTGAAAATGGGATCAAGGTCACCAAAACCGACTGGTGTCTGCGGAGTCTGTATATACACCATAGTTCCAAATATGAAGACAATCCAGTGTTTAGTTCTTGAGATATCGCGGCAACACCGTTTTCCAACTCTAAAAGCAGATTTGTCTGCTGTGACCTTGAAAATGGGATCAAGGTCACCAAAACCGACTGGTGTCTGCGGAGTCTGTATATACACCATAGTTCCAAATATGAAGACAATCCAGTGTTTAGTTCTTGAGATATCGCGGCAACACCGTTTTCCAACTCTAAAAGCAGATTTGTCTGCTGTGACCTTGAAAATGGGATCAAGGTCACCAAAACCGACTGGTGTCTGCGGAGTCTGTATATACACCATAGTTCCAAATATGAAGACAATCCAGTGTTTAGTTCTTGAGATATCGCGGCAACAAACAGGTGGGACGTACGGACGGACGTACGGACGGACGGATGGACGTACGTACGGACGGTTGGAATACTATATCCCCCGCTTCGCGCTTTCGCGCGGCGGGGGATAATAATTTAGATGACACAATTATGTTGTGTCAAGTACTTTGTCTTCAAACAACCCATTTTGAGCATTATAGATTTCACTCATTCAGTGCTCAGAATGTTTCACTTTGAAAACAAATGTAAGATGAACTCTGGTTTCTCTTCATGAATGACAAATGTAAACAGTTCATTATGATTATGTGATACAGCTAAATACAGTAAGTACAATAAAGCTATCTGTGACATTGTGTGAAATGTGCAAAACATGAAAAAGTATGGTCATTCCAAGTACCAGCACTTCTCCCATTCTCGCAATGCAATGAGTAAGTAGGCTTGGTTTTACGCCGCTTTTAGCAATATTCCAGCAATATCACGGCAGAGGACACCAGAAATGGACTTTACACATTGTACCCATGTGGGGAATCGAGCCCAGGTTTCAGCATGATGAGCAACCACTTGACCACTAGGCTACCCCACCACCCTTCTCATAATACAACTGAAAGAGAAGAAGCATAATAGTTAAGCATGCATTACCATGATTATAGAATTAATACAGTCAGCTCAAGGACCATATTTTGCACAAAGATTTATTTTGTCAAAAATGGATTTTCTTTTCAAATCGAGTCAGCAGGTGGTAATTTTATTAAAATGGTTCACATTTCTGTCAGTTCTTAAATGACTTTCTGAGGACTTCTATCCATGATCAATCAGCTGGTCCTGTGGGAAATAATTTAAAAGAGTTTAAAGAATAGCCATTGTACAAAAAGATTTGTGAGGTTAACTCCCTTTCACACATTCATAAACAAGTAGGTTGAAAGATATAATAATTATTGAATTTGTGACATTATTAAGTTGACATTTTGAGAGATCAAAAGATTTTTTGTTGTTGGATGACTCGAATCATGCCCCATTCGTTTGGATTAAGATGGTACACTACAAAGGAAACATCAATATATGATCATGAAGAATAGAAACCTTGATGTTGTTAGTCTTAATTGATATTCAATCTCTGCCATAACTGAATTCTTGATGAAAGTTAGATCATTCAAGAAATTCATTAATCACTTTGGATATGCCCAACAATCCATGAAACCAAGGTGTATTGGGTTCGGTCACCAGTCAAGACGAACAATAGGGTCTAGAGGCAGTCTCATTGTTATAGCGCTGGCCAATCATGCAAAAAAAACAGATTCTTGTGTAGGCCTGTTATTGGTTAAACCATCAAAATACTGCTTGAATATAGATAAGTGACCAAAATGATGCCCAATTACCTATTTTGACTTGACTACATGTTCCCGTGTTCATGTGAAGAATTTACTTGCCTTTGCATGTGTTTGTGACAGGTGCCACCTTTGGGACAGGATACAATCACCTTTTCAGGAACACCTGGTATCATCACTATCTGATGGAGATTCATAGACACAAGTTGAAGATATATTGGAATTGTACAATGGTGTTTTCTTTCAGAATATTTCTCACAATTATGGCAAGTGTTTTGTCACTTTTAATTATTGAGATAATGACCTAACCGGCACATGCAAAGACTTCTATGTTACAATTTGATAAATTCTGGTCCACTTTGTGATTTTTCAAACATATGTGTCCCACATGTATCACTTAAAGGCTTGCAGAAGTCGAAGAATGAAAAGCGTGAAGACCACAAGTGTTTCATTTTTGGGTTCATCACATTATAACCTCAGATGTTATCCACAATCAAATGTATGCTTTATTTTGTGCTGAAATGACCAAGCAGATCTTTCACTGTAATTAATGTATATCTTAATGTACCATAACATCAACTTGTAGCAATATATAAAGAATATTATGTCAGGGGATAACGAGAATGAGCTTCACACATTGTTGAACCAATTGTACAATCAAACCCAGAATATTAAATATTCATAACTTTATTGATTCAAACAAACTTTCCCTGAAAGAAGACATTAAAGTGTTAATTAATATGAAGTCTTAAGAATACTGATGTTACACACAATGTTCTTGAGCAGAGCTGGAACAACCCAATGAGTCTTTGAGGATGGTTACAATATTTCTAGTAAAAAAAAAAGTTCCACTGGATTTTTTCTTTTTACTAGAAAAAGAATTGTGTGAATTGTTTCATAGGGCAGTCTTCCTGCTATCATCAATGGTCACAGAATAGAGTTGTACACAGGTTCACTGTTTAACAGGCTACTAACTTGCTATCATCGATGATCACAGAATAGAGTTGTACACAGGTTCACTGTTTAACAGGCTACTAACTTGCTATCATCGATGATCACAGAATAGAGTTGTATGCAGGTTCACTGTTCAACAGGCTATTAACCTGCTGTCATCAATGATCACAGGACAGAGTTGTATGCAGATTCACTGTTCAACAGGCTATTAACCTGCTGTCATCAATGATCACAGAATAGAGTTGTATGCAGGTTCACTGTTTAACAGGCTATTAACCTGCTATCATCGATGATCACAGAATAGAGTTGTATGCAGGTTCACTGTTTAACAGGCTATTAACATGCTGTCATCAATGATCACAGAACAGAGTTGTATGGAGGTTCACTGTTTAACAGGCTACTAACCTGCTATCATCAATGATCACAGAATAGAGTTGTATGCAGGTTCACTGTTTAACAGGCTACTAACCTGCTATCATCAATGATCACAGAAAAGAGTTGTATGCAGGTTCACTGTTTAACAGGCTATTTACATGCTGTCATCAATGATCATGGAATAGAGTTGTATGCAGGTTCACTGTTCAACAGGCTACTAACCTGCTATCATCAATGATCACAGAATAGAGTTGTATGCAGGTTCACTGTTTAACAGGCTATTAACCTGCTGTCATCAATGAGCACAGAATAGAGTTGTATGCAGGTTCACTGTTTAACAGGCTATTAACCTGCTGTCATCAATGATCACAGAATAGAGTTGTATGCAGGTTCACTGTTTAACAGGCTATTAACCTGCTGTCATCAATGATCACAGTACAGAGTTGTATGCAGGTTCACTGTTTAACAGGCTATTAACCTGCTGTCATCAATGATCACAGAACAGAGTTGTATGCAGGTTCACTGTTTAACAGGCTACTAACCTGCTGTCATCAATGATCACAGAACAGAGTTGTATGCAGGTTCACTGTTTAACAGGCTATTAACCTGCTGTCATCAATGATCACAGAACAGAGTTGTATGCAGGTTCACTGTTTAACAGGCTATTAACCTGCTGTCATCAATGATCACAGAACAGAGTTGTATGCAGGTTCACTGTTTAACAGGGTATTAACCTGCTGTCATCAATGATCACAGAATAGAGTTGTATGCAGGTTCACTGTTTAACAGGCTATTAACCTGCTATCATCAATGATCACAGAATAGAGTTGTATGCAGGTTCACTGTTTAACAGGCTATTAACCTGCTGTCATCAATGATCACAGAACAGAGTTGTATGCAGGTTCACTGTTTAACAGGCTATTAACCTGCTGTCATCAATGATCACAGAACAGAGTTGTATGCAGGTTCACTGTTTAACAGGGTATTAACCTGCTGTCATCAATGATCACAGAATAGAGTTGTATGCAGGTTCACTGTTTAACAGGCTATTAACCTGCTATCATCAATGATCACAGAATAGAGTTGTATGCAGGTTCACTGTTTAACAGGCTATTAACCTGCTGTCATCAATGATCACAGAATAGAGTTGTATGCAGGTTCACTGTTTAACAGGCTATTAACCTGCTGTCATCAATGATCACAGAACAGAGTTGTATGCAGGTTCACTGTTTAACAGGCTATTAACCTGCTGTCATCA